TCATGATGTGTGTTCATGTGATTTTTGGAAGCCAGCAGTTGATCCAGGGAGCTGATTAAAACACAAAATGCATTAAATATATGAGAAAACCCCATGCTGAAAGGGTGAGAAGGAAGAAAGAATGCATACAGATTTTTTGATATCTTGCAAGAGCTGGCTGAGAGTTGATGCCATTTATTATACTCTGATTGGCAGATAGTTCAAGATGTTCTGAGATATCCCTCCATATCTCCTGAGATTTATTTACATGAATTTTAAAACCAAGGGGACAAATGCAACCTTGGAGAGGATATTATGACCAGAATCTGTTTTTAATGCAAAATCTTTAACTCACCAACTTATCCATCTCCAGAAAAAGATTTTCCTGTCCAAAACCTCTACATCAGAACTCAGTGAAATGCATGAGACTGAGGAAGGTGTTCACTTTAACCGATAGCATTCACTGTTTTTTCAGTGTTATTCGTCTAAGTGACAAAGCCAGAAGGCAAACCTATACTTCTTTTTGACTTTTTATTGCTTTTCATCCCAGTGGGAACCAGCAGAAGGGTAAGAAAAAATCTTTCAAATGGCAAAATGTGCTTAAGATGTTTTTCAATAGGAGTGAATAAAAAATGACCAACAAGTAGGAATGAAGTTTGTTAGAGTCTGAAGAAAAATGCTACAGAAGGTTGGCTTAAGTTTTGTGACTGTTTGGATCCAGGTTGAGATGAAGGGGAGATGTGAGAATAAAGAAGCCAGCATAATGTGTACTGTAGATGGATTGAACGGTAGGATGGCCAGCACATCAAACGTTAGGTTTTAGGCTGAATTATAAGTTGATTAGTTCCTCATGATAAGAGGGGTTCATATACTACTGAATATTAGGTGTATTCCAGTTGTGGTAGTTTGAGTAAGAATGGCCTTTGTAGGCTCATATATTTGTAAGCTTAGGGAGTGGCATTATTTGAAAAGATTAGGATGTGTGGCCATGTTGTGGGGGTATGGCCTTGCTGGAGGAAACATGTTACTGGGGATTGGTTTTGAGGTTTCAGAAGCCTAAGTTAAGCCCAGAGGTACTATCTCTTCTTGTTACCTGCTGATCCAGAGGTACAAACCTCAAGCTACTTCTGCAGCACAAAGTCTGCTTGTAGGCTGCCATGCTTCCCACCATGCTGATAACGGACTAAACATCTAAAACTGTAAGCCAACCCCAATTAAGTGGTTTCCTTTATAAGAGCTACTATTCTCATGATATCCCATTCCAGCAATAGAACACTAACACATCAGTGAAAACCTTTTTAGGTTTGAGAGACTATGATTCTTTGTCAATTGAAAGCAAGCAAAAAGGTGAGGGGCATTTGGTAGTAAAATTACTGGAAAACTCATCTCTTCTTTATCCAAATGGAACTGGAGTCTGATAACCTTACTGAGTAAGAGGGTATAAAATAAATCCTATTTTGTTGTAGGAGGAACCAATGATGTAGACAACAATCACATAAGTGATAGATAATTTATGTTTTTGCTTGGATAAGTCCCAAGAATTTATTTAAGCTTTTGCAAAGCATTACCTTTATCTATGAGAATAATCTTATCAGAGATATTTTTTTCTTTCCAAGTTAAACGTGAGAATAGAGACTCTGGAAAGTCAAAGGACCTTCTTTACCAATGGGAGACTTACAACCCTGTAGGTAGTCCTTTACCCATAACCTCACAACATTTTGTGACAGGATTGTCAAAAAAGAGGAGACACTAGAGTTTGAGACTAGGGTATTTTGGGCTAGACATCCAGTACACATCTGACATTCTGCTACACGCATTGTCTCATTCTACTTCAAAATGACTCTGGAAAAATATAAGTCATCAGAGGCCAAAGAGCTGAAAAGTTAAGACACAGTTGAAAGCATGAGTTTAAGGTTCTCCAAGAAGGCTTTCAGACATCCTCTCATCTTTTACAGATGAAGCAGAATAGCAGCAAGTTTTACTAACTTGCTTCATATTTTACAGAAAAGCAAAGCAAAATTCAACTTTAATTATTGTTGATGTGCTCTAAACACATACAGAATGTCTCTACTTGAGTCAGAGCTCAAAAAAACTAAGCATTCTTTTCGTCATTGTTCCCTCATTTGACAATAGGAAGTAGTATTAAATGTTTCCCTAGCTTGCTACTAGAGTGGGATTGTTAGAGATCCCAACAATGCAAAAAAGTACTTAATGTATGAAGTACAGAATCCAGAAATATTTTAATTATGTCTTTTATTATTTGGGAATTTCATAAATGAATATAATATGTTCTATTCCCTAACCCTTCTGTTATAATTTTCTCCCCCTTGCCTCTTAATTTCATGTTCTTCATTTTGAAAGCCCACTGAGTTCATCTAGTACTGCCTAAATATGGATGTATATAGAACCTGTACTAGAGCACATGTGGCCTCCCTGGGACCACATCCTTTCAGAAAATAGGCTCGTGCTCCTTCAAGCAGGCATCAGTGGCCAATAGCTTCTCAAGCTAGGAACTTGGCTGTACAAGTTCTTTCCCTACCCGTGTTGGGATTTGGACCAGTTTGATCTTGTGCAGATATTGTGCATGAAGTCACTGCCACTCTGAGAACATGTGTGCAAAAGTGTTGTCATGCCCATAAAATATCGTTTTGCTGCAGATGTTCACTATTTCTTATAATCATCCCACCCTATGTTTCTCCATAATCCATGATCCTTGTTGGGAGGGGATATGGTATGGTAAGTCTGTATATGTGTTGTTTTTATTAGTTAATGAATAAATCTTTTGGGCCAGTCACATAGCTGTAATAGAGCTAGATGGGAAAATTAAACTGAACACTGGGAAAAAGAAGGCAGAGTCAGGGAGACACCATGTAGCTGCCAGAGGAGAAAGATGTGAGCTGCCAGCTGGAACGTTGCTAATAGGCCACAAGCCTCATGGTAAAATAATAGAACTGGGTTAATTTAAAATGTATAAGCTTGCTAAGAATATGATATAGTGATTAGCCAATCAGTGACTTAATTAATACAGATTTCTGTGTGGTTATTTCAGGACTGAGCAGCCAGGAACAAGTGGCCTCCTACTACAAATTGGTGCTCCAACGTGTACCAGTTAAATGCACATAAAACTTGAGAAAGAATGAAAAGGAATTCTAGAAACAAAAAAGAGAGTTTAACACAGCTTCATGCTCTGTTTCCTGTTGGATCCTTTAAGAGAGATCTTCCTGCACATGACCCTGCCCTCCCCGCAAGTTCACCCTTTTGTCTGTGGGGTCCTTGGTCTACCAGGTATCCCTGTTCCTGTGCTGAGGAGATCAAACCAGACTGGTGTCCCTGTTCCTGTGCTAAGGAGATCAATCCAGACTGGCGAGTGTGTGCCATCTTGTGGCGGAAGGTCATTGAAGGGAGCACAGGACCCCTTCAGTTCCTGTTGCAGGGGCTTCTTTGTTGCACACGACCCTGCCCTTCCCCCAAGTCACCCTTTTGTCTGCAGGGTCCTCGGACTACCAGGTGTCCCTGTTCCTGTGCTGAGGAGATCAATCCAGACTGTTGAGTAAGAGCCATCCTGGGGCAGACTGTCAAGGAACGAAGCAGAGGACCCCTCCAGCTCCTGCTGCAGGGGCTTCTTTGATCCACAAGTCCCTGCCTCACCCAAGCCTGCCCTATCATCTGCGAGATCCTTGGCCCAGGAACAGTTCCTGCTCCTGCACTGAGAAGATCCACCTAGAGTGTCAATCACAGCATAGATTGGACCAAGATGCCAAGACTCTCCTGGCTGCATTTGAAAGAAGAGATGGGCAGGCACCAATGCAAGCATTCCTCCAACAACCTGAAAGACAACATGACAACACCAGAATCTAGGGATCACGCAACAAGAAGACTTGAACACCTGATTCCAGAAGAAATAGAAATCGACTTTAAATGTAACATTATGAAAATAATAGAGGACCTAAAACAGGTTGTGAAAAACTGCTTTAAACAAATGGAGAACACAAACAAAACCATGGAAGAAATGAATAAATCTCTCAAAAATATCCAAGAAAACCAAGAAAAAGCAATCAAACAGGTAATGGAAACAGTTCAAGACTTGAAAAATGAAATGGAGGCAAAGAAGAAAGCACAAACCAAGGGAAGGTTGGATATGGAAAATCTGGGTAAATGAACAGGAACTACAGAGACAACTATAACCAACAGAATACAAGAGATAGAAGAAAAAATCTCAGGCACTGAAGATACTATAGAGGAAATAAACTCATGGATTAAAGAACACAACAAATTCTTAACACAAAACATCCAAAAATTCTGGGAGATCATGAAAAGGCCAAACCTAAGAATAATAGGGGTAGAAGAAGGAGAAGAATTACAGCTCAAAGGCCCAGAAAATATATTAAACTAAATTAGAGAAGAAAACTTTTCCAACCTAAAGAAGGATATTCTTATGAAGGTACAAGGAGCATACAGAACACCAAATAGACTGGATTAAAAAAAAAAAGCATCCCCTTGCCATATAATAATCAAAACACAAAACATACAGAATAAAGAAAGAATATTAAGAGTTGCAAAGGAAAAAGGTCAAGTAACATATAAAGGGAAACCTATCAGAATCACTCCTCACTTCTCAATGGAAACCATGAAAGCCAGAAGGTCTTGGATAGATGTGCTGCAGACACTAAGAGATCATGGATGCAAGCCTAGACTACTATACCCAGCAAAGCTTGCATTTACCATCGATGCAGAAAACAAGACATTCCAGGACAAAAACATATTTAAACAGTACGTAGCCGCAAACCCAGCATTACAGAAAATATTAGAAGGAAAATCACACACCAAGGAAGACAACAACACTCATAATAACACAAGCATCTGACAACCCTCCACCAGCACAACTCAATGAAGGGAAACATACAAACCCTACCACCAGAAAAAATAACCAGAGTTAACAACCACTGGTCATTAATATCACTTAATATCAATGGACTCAATTCATCTATAAAAAGGCACAGGTTATCTTTTACCGGGACCCATCAACATGGGCCGCGTCCGCACCAAGACCGTGAAGAAGGCGGCCCGGGTCATCATCGAGAAGTACTACACGTGCCTGGGCAATGACTTCCACAACAACAAGCGCGTGTGCAAGGAGATCGCTATCATCCCCAGCAAGAAGCTCCACAACAAGATAGCCGGCTATGTCACGCATCTGATGAAGAGGATTCAGAGAGGCCCTGTCAGGGGTATCTCTATCAAACTGCAGGAGGAAGAGCGAGAAAGGAGGGATAATTACGTCCCTGAGGTCTCAGCCCTGGATCAGGAGATCATTGAGGTAGATCCTGACACCAAGGAGATGCTGAAGCTTCTGGACTTCGGCAGTCTCTCCAACCTGCAGGTCACTCAGCCTACAGTGGGGATGAATTTCAAAACACCGCGTGGAGCCGTTTGAGTCTGTTCTGTCATTTTCAATAAATCTGAAAATAACTTTAAAAAAAAGGCACAGGTTAAGAGAATGGATATGAAAACAGGATCCAGCACTCTGCTGTTTACAAAAAACACACCTCAAACTCAAAGACAGACACTACCTCAGAGTAAAGGGTAGGTTTTCCAATAAAATGGACTAAAGAAACAAGCAGGCGTGGCTGTACTAATATCTAACAAAATTGATTTCAAATTAAAATCAATCAGAAGAGATGGAGAAGGACACTTCATACTCATAACAGGAACAATCTATCAGAAGGAAGTCTTAATCCTGAATATCTATACCCCTGATATAAAAGCACACACATATGTGAAAAAACATTACTAGAACTCAAAGCATACATCAAACTCCACACTCTAATAGTAGGAGGTTTGAACACTCCTCTTTCACCAATGGACGGGTCAATCAGACAGAAACTTAACAGAGAAATAAGAGAACTAACAGATGTAATGAAACAAATGGACTTAACAAACATATATAGAACATTCCACCCAAACAAAAAAGAATATAACTTCTTCTTAGTATCTCATGGAACATTCTCAAAAATTGATCACATAATTGTAACAAAGCAAACATCAATAGATACAGAGAAATTGTAGTAACCACCTGTGTACTATTGGATCACCATGGAATAAAGTTAGAATTCAACAACAATGCTATCCCCAGAAAGCCTACAAACTCATGGAAACTGAACAGTCAACTACTGAACCATACCTGGATTAAGGAAGAAATAAAGAAAGAAATTAAAGTCTTCTTTGAATTCAATGAAAATAAAGAGACAACATACTCGAACTTATGGGACACTATGAAAGCAGTCCTGAGAGGAAAGTTCATAGCACTAAGTGCTCACCTAAAGAAAACAGAGAAAGCACATATTGGAGACTTAACAGCCCACTTGAAAGCTCTAGAAAAAAAAGAAGCAGACTCACCTAGGAGGAGTAGAAGACTGGAAATAATCAAATTGAGGGCTGAAATCAACAAAATAGAAACACAGAAAACAATCCAAAAAATCAATGAAACAAAAAGCTGGTTCCTGGAGAGAATCAACAAGATTGATAAACCCCTATCCAAACTAATCAAACGACAGAGAGAGAACACGCAAATTAATAAGATCAGAAATAAAAAGGGGGACATAACCACAGACACAGAGGAAATTCAGAGAGGCATTAGATCTTACTACAAAAGCCTGTATGCCAGAAAATTGGAAAATGTGAAAGAAATGGACATTTTTAAAAGATAAGTACCATTTACCAAAATTAAATCAAGACCAGGTGAATATTTTCTTTGTTTTGTTTTTGCTTTTTATTTTCAAGACAGGGTTTCTCCGTAGCTTTTGGTTCCTGTCCTGGAACTAGCTCTTCTAGACCAGGCTGGCCTTGAACTCACAGAGATCTGCCTGCCTCTGCCTCCCGAGTGCTGGGACTAAAGGCATGCGTCACCACCGCCCGGCTCAGCTGAACAATTTAAATAGACCTGTAAGTCACAAGGAATTAGAAGCTGTCATCAGAAAACTCCCTACCAAAAAAAAAAAAAAAGCCCTGGACCAGATGGTATCAATGCATAATTCTACCAGAACTTCTAAGAAGAGCTATTATCTATACGCCTTAATGTGTTTCACAAAAATAGAAACAGAAGAATCATTGCCAAACTCCTATGAAGCTACAATTACCCTACTATCAAAACCACACCAAGACTCAACCAAGAAAGAAAATTACAGACCAATCTCACTCATGAACATCGATGCAAAAATTCTCAATAAAATACTGGCAAACTGAATCCAAGAACACATCCAAAAAATAATACATTATGATCAAGTAAGCTTCATCCCAGAGAGGCAAGGCTGGTTTAACAAACGAAAATCCATCAATGTAATCCAACATATAAATAAACTGAAAGAAAAAAACCATATGATCATTTTATTAGATGCTGTCAAAGCATTTGACAAAATTCAACACCCCTTTATGATAGAGGTCTTAGAGAGGTTAGGGATACAAGGTTCATTCCTAAATATAATAAAAGCAATATACAGCAAGCCAACAGCTAACACCAAATTAAATGGTGAGAAACTCAAAGCTATTCCACTAAAATTAGGAACAAGACAAGGCTATCCACTCTCTCCATACCTCTCTAATATAGTTCTTGAAGTTCTAGCAATAGCAACAAGACAACATAAAGAGATCAAGGGAATTTGAATTGGAAAAAAAGAAGTAAAACTTTCGTTATTTGCAGATGATATGATAGTGAATTGAAGTGACACCAAAAACTTTACCAAAGAACTCCTACAGCTGATAAACACCTTTAGTAATGTTGCAGGATACAAGATCAACTCCTGAGGCAGTGAACTTCACAGAGAAGGACTGAGCCAGTGACCTGGGCCAGAATTGTGAACTCCACAGAAGCAGTAGTGAATACAGAACAGGGACATTTGCTGAAGCAGGACTGGGCCAGTGACCTGGGTCAAAGCAAGTCTGAGGCAGCAAGCTCTGCAGGAGTGGGAGCAGATACAGACCTGGGACATTTGTGGAGGCAGGACTGAGCTAGCCACCTGGGCCAGAGCAGATCTGAGACAGCGAAGTCCACAGAAGCAGGTGCAGGGGAGCAACCAATAAGTGAGTGGGCCAGAGACAGAGACCTCAGTGGGTCCAGGCATGAATCTGGGACCTTCAAGGGAGTAGACCTGGGACAGAACCCTTGTGGGTCCAAGCATGAGTCTGGGACCTCCAAGGAACTAGGTCTGAGCCAGGATCTCTGCAGGTCCAGGCTTCAGTCTAGGACCTCCAAGGGAGTAGGCAGAAACCAGAAAACTCCTTGGGACTGGGCATGAGTCTGGGACCGCTGAGGGAGTAGATTGGAGCCAGAGACCTTTGCAGGACTACCCCAAAACAGGGACCTTCACAGGAGTGGATCCAGATGACAGATTTTTATGAAAACAGGTCTGAGTTGGAAAACTAGGCCAAAGTAGGCCCTAGACAGTGAACTCCATGGGAGTGGAGCAAATCCCGGGAGTGCTGAGTGACCTTCAGGAACATGGAATAACCAATGGTGTAACTAGAATCATGGCGCTGACTGCAGCATGAGCAACAATCATCTGAGCCTTGGATCCACTGGAACCTGGAAGACTAATCACCAGAATCACAGGCAGCCTCAAACACACCAATTAGAGGAAAAGATGAACAGAAGAGGTAAGAACACATGTAACACTCAAAGAGCAACACAACACCAGTAAAATCTAGAGACCCTACAACAACAAGACTAAAACAACTAAATATAGAACAAGCAGAGGAAAATAACCTAAAAAATAACTTCAGGGGAATGTTTGAGACTCTTAAAGAGGAAATGAGAAATTCCCTCAAAGAAATGGCGGAAAAGATAAAAAATTGAAAGACAGCAACAAATCCTTTAGAGAAACTCAGGAAAAAAGCATTCAAACATATGAAAGAAACTATTCAAGGCTTGAAAACTAAATAAAAACAATAAAGAAAAAACAAGGCTAGGGAGTTATAGAAATAAAAATCTTGATAAAATGATCAAGAACCACAAATGCAAGATTATACTGAAAAATACAAGAAATAGAAGACAGAATATCAAGCACTGAAGATACAATAGAGGAAATAGACTCATCAGTCACAGAAAGCATTAAATTTAACAAAATCTTAACACAAAATATCCAAGAAATATGGGAAACTATGAAAAGACCAAACCTAAGAATAATAGGTATAGACGAAGGAGAAGTTCAACTCCAAATCACAGAAAATATATTTAACATAATCATAGAAGAAAACTTCCCAACCTATAAAAAGATATGCCTATGAAGCTACATGAAGCTTTTGGAACACCAAATATACTGGATCAAAAAAATAATGTCTGCTTGCCACATAATAATCAAAACATTAGAGAGAGACACCAGAGAGGACACTGAGAGAAAACAGGAAGTGCAAGATGGAAGAGAGGTAAAAGAACAGATGCAAGCGGCAGGAACCGGCTCCTGCGCAGTGGCAGACACAAGCGGCAGGGATGGGCAGGCAATAACAAGAGCAGATGGCCCCACTACAATTAAATCAAAGAGAAACCCCGAGGGGAGACCAAAGAGGTGGCAGACACAAGGGGCGGGAACGGGTGCGCAATAACAAGAGAAGATGGCCCCACTACAATTAAATCAAAGAGATAGGCCTTTTGTTGGCGAGGTCACCGGCAACGGGGAGCCTGGTCCTAATCCTGAAGACACTTCAGAAGGGTGAGAGGGTTCTTGACCTGTGGCAGGAACTAGGAAACAGAGCGAGGGCATTTGATAAGCGGAACCCTTGGCCAGCAGGGAAACCTGATTCGGTTTTAAAAGACCCATTAGATAGGATCAATAGGAAGAGATGGGCAGGCGCCAAGGAAAGAATTCACCCAATAATCTGAAAAACAACATGAAAACACCAGGACCCAATGATCTTAAAACAGAAGTATTTAAACACCCTAACACAGAAGAAGTGGAAAAAATTGACTTTATGAAAGCAATAGAGTCCCTTAAACAACATGTAAAAAAAGCCCTTATAGAAATGGATGAGAAGTATAACAAAAAGTTTGAAGAAATGAGTAAATACATACATGGTACCCTGGGAAACCAAGAAAAAAAGATCAAACAGGTAGTGGAAACAGTTCAAGAATTAAAAACTGAAATGAAAGCAAGGAAGAAAATACAAACTGAGGACCAGCTGGTTATGGAAAATCTAGGTCAACGAGCAGAGTCTACAGAAACAAGCATAATCAATAGAATACAAGAGATAGTAGAATGAATCTCAGATTCTGAGGACACTATAGAGAAAATAAACGCAAAGAACAAAGAAAACAGCAAAGCCAACAAATTCTCAACACAAAACATTCAGGAAATATGGGACACAATAAAAAGACCAAACCTAAGAAAAATAGGAATAGAAGAAGGAGAAGAGTCACAGCTCAAAGGCCCAGAAAATATTTTTAACAAAATTATGGAAGAAAACTTTCCCAACAAAAAGAA